ATGCCATCACTTTCCCAGGTTTGGAGAAAAACCATTGCAAAATGTCATTTCAGTCTGCAAATATTGTATGTTAGAAAAATTACTCTCCATATTCCTGAAGATAATTGTTTATAGTCAACTGATAAACATTTTATTTAACAAAAAACACACACACACACACACACACACACACACACACACACCACACACACACACACACACACACACACACACACACACACAGGGGAATATGATTAAAAACAGTTGTTTCTGAGCTGTAGCATGAGTGTCTGTACTGTACTGAACTGTGTGTGTGTGTGTGTGTGTGTGTGTGTGTGTGTGTGTGTGTGTGTGTGCACCTGGCCTGTGAGCTGTCCAGTGCAGTGGTGATGAGGTGTCTCCTGCTGTCTCTGTTGAACACCAGGGCTTTCCCGCTGGCCAGAACCCCGCAGGCGAAGCTGACCTCGGCGCCGCGCAGCGAGCTGAAGCAGTGGTATGAGGAGAGACGTGCGCTGGAGAAACTCTCCGACAGGAACGCCGGGAACGCCTGCGACGCCAGCTCACACGCCGGGCCACTGAAGCCCGGGTCACACCTGAGGGACACAGTGCAGAGCGGTCAGAACAGGGTGTGTGTATGAGTGTGTTTGTGTGTGTATGTGTGTCAGCAGGAGCGCAGGCTCATCATACCGGCAGCCAGTGCGGGAGCAATGTCCTCTGCCGGAGCAGAACCGCAGGCAGGACGGCCCGATGTACACTGAAAAACAGCACAGCACATCAACAGCTCACCTCATACACATTAATGAAGCCTCACAGGGCTCATGGACAGCGCAGACGTGTGTGTGTGTGTGTGTGTGTGTGTGTGTGTGTTTTAACCTCATCATTGATCATGATTTGCCATCACTGCCCCCAGCACCACTGCCCCCAGCACCACTGCCCCCAGCACTACTGCCCCCAGCACCACTGCCCCCAGCACCACTGCCCCCAGCACTACTGCCCCCAGCACCACTGCCCCCAGCACCACTGCCCCCAGCACCACTGCCCCCAGCACTACTGCCCCCAGCACTACTGCCCCCAGCACCACTGCCCCCAGCACCACTGCCCCCAGCACCACTGCCCCCAGCTACTCTGAGTTTGGTGTTTCTCTACAGGTGTTTGCTGTACTTCAGTTGGTGAAGTCTGTCACTGGTCTGCTTGGTTTGGGGAGTGTGTTTCTGTGCATCGCTGGATTTGCTCTTCAGTGTTTGGGTTTCAGCAGTGATGTCTACATCACACTGAGCTGAACTGAACTCTGAAAACTGGACTGACTGGTGTTTCAGTTTACTAGAGCTCCATCAGTGTTCATCTGCTCTGACATGATCTCCACGGTAAATCCCACATCTGCATCTCACCGTTGTCGATGGCCCACATGTTCCCGGTCCCCGCAGCGCTCTGCCTCCAGCGGAAGCGTGTACTCTCCGTCAGCGCGGCGTTGGGCAGAGGGATGCTGATCCGGGACCAGCTGAGGAAACACACACAGAAGATTAGCAGAACACACACACAACAGATTATCAGAACACACAGCTCAGGCTGGACCGTACCCGCTGTAGTTCTCGGAGGAGTAGATGCTGCTGTGGGGAAGGTGGGCTCCAGAACACACCTCCGGAAGACACTCGGTGTGCAGGAGAGCCCAGGAGCGGCCCTGATTGGTGGAGAACTCCAGTTTGACACTGCAGAGGACACAGCAGCAGAGTTAATCACAGCACTGTAGTGTTCAGCAGCTCCACTCAGTACTGCCTCTAGTGGCCAGCTGTGGGGACTTTAATAGAGTCATCCAGCAGCGTCTCCAACTGAGTGAGGATAAAACTGAAACAGTCGTATTTCAAACACTGCTGTTATTTTGGACTTCTTCTTACACTGACTGCTGTCTTCGGGTCTTCCCTATTCATCTATTGAACACTTACAGATACTTTAAACTACTGTGTGAGGCTGTAGAGGCTGTAGAGCTGATCACTGTGCTTCATCATTGAGTTTAAATGTTATAGTGGAGCTCATCATATCCCTCAGCTTCTGCTGATCTCCATCATCCACATGTTTGCTGCCTCTGCACACTCTGTACAATAAAACTGTAGAGCATTGTTGAAGCTCTTTCCTCACCGCCTCTGCATCTGTCTTAGTCTTCATGCTTCACTGTATCAGCGGTTTAGGGTTTGGTAGTTGTATCCTCCTGCTTGATTCTGCTCAGCACTTTGCTGTGGTGAATGTGCTCTGTGAATAACTGTGTTTACAGTTTCAGAAGAGTAGACCCTTACATCATGATACCAGCGCACGATCCGCTATCAACAGCTTCAGATTTACAGCTATATTCAGAAATACGAGGGAGTTCTGGAGCCGCTCAGCTGATTTATTTCAGTGACTCAGGAGTTTGAGAAACACTTCGTCAGCATCAGGGACGGCTCTGCTGGAGACTGCAGTTATCAGTCACAGCGCCGGTCATTCACTCAGAAACTCTGCTCCATCATGTGTTCATCTGCGTGATCAGACTCATCTCTGACCTTCACAGATCCTCATTACACTGATCTGAGACATTCACACTGAAATTAACCTATAAGTGTTCATCACTAGAACCGCACCGGTGTTTCCCACCGCTCTCCTGCTGCTGGACCTGCTGGAACGCTCAACGCTGTGAGACATTACAGCCTTCCCTCTCCTTCCTTCACCTGTGTTCAGCTGCTTAACTCTCTCTCCTTTAACCCTCAGATGGGTTGAGCTGTCGGGTTCTTCATGTGCATTTCAGCATGTTAGGATGTGACCTGTTCCTCAGCGGCTGGAGCTCACCTGTTGGCCGGCTGGTACGCTCCGCAGCCCAGGTTAATGGAGAACTGCAGCAGGTGTGTGTTCGCTCCAGGCTGCACAGGTAAGAGCTGCAGGAAGTCCAGCGCCCACACCTGCCGGTTCTGTCCGGCGTGAGTCTCCTGCTCCAGACAGAACTGAGTGTGTGGAGTCTGCAGCTCAGTGGGCAGACTGATGGACACCACTGCAGGGGTCTGCAGGACGAGAACACACCACAGATTAACATACACACACATCTCAACACACACACAAACACACACCCAGCTCTACCCTGTAGGCGGAGTATGGCAGGACATCCAGCAGCACGTGCTCCTTCCTGCCCTCCGAGCGGCCGAAGACGATCACGTTATTCTTGCTGGACTCTCCAGGATCACAGCCTCCACCACCTGCAGGAAACACAGCGGTCAAACACAGAGCTGGTGGACACACACACACACACACACACACACTCTCACACACAGACATACCCATGGTGAAGTGGAAGCGCAGGTTTCCGTATGCGCT